ACCAGAGGAGTCGCCCCCTGGTGGACACTAGAGAGAATGCAGCTTTAACACATGAAGCTTTGACTTCACTCGGCAGAACCGGAGGTTGCCGCCTAATCCGCTCACTAAACCACAATCTATGATGAATACATATAATAAGTGAAGCAATGAATGATACAAGTATAATGTGGGTAAATGTGATGATTTTCATCTCATAAAACATGGAGAACACATACAAAATAGATCAATAAAGGTAACCCTGTTTGACTGATGGATGTTGGGCTTGATATTTCTAGATTTCCTCCCCGTTCAGATAATGGTAACTACTCTGCTCACACCGAGGTAGAAAGGCAGCGAGCCACACCTCGTCACAGTGTTAGATTTACACATTTTCACACATTCCAGGAATAAATATCTTTTTACAGGAGTATCTGTTCTCTGGAAGGCGGCGTGCAGCACACAGCGGCGTAGAGGTTAGAGGAGGAACGATGGATTCCTCTGCTCTGGAGATGATGCGAGACATTCATCAGCAGGAACAGAAAAGCCTGTGGCTCTGCTGCCACACTCCAGAAACAGCAGCTTTATTATGGGATGCTAAGACGTTGGACACCATGCAAACGTAAAGCATGGAAGATGACACAAAATAGATGTGTTTGGCGATGTATGGTCAATTAAAACTTTTGCATTGTAGGAATATTAGCCTAGAAATCAATTATAGCAATATAGCAGCTAAAAAACAACCTTTACTTATTGTGTCCTCATTTAAAGGACCGAATGTGAGATTTAAGAGCGTGCAATAATGTAGGAATATGCATGTCATTCTTTACCTGAAGCAAAAATATAATAATGATGCAAATACAGATGTGGAAATGTCATTTTGCAATAAAACTGAAAGCAAAAACTTGCGTTTTTCAGACGCGAAAACGCCCGCAAAAAAAAAAACACGCAAAGTATGAGCGCAACACTTGAAAGCCTCGTGATTTTCCCGTGAACATATTGACTTGATGCGTTAAAAGACGCTGAAGCTCGACGGACCGACACACAGCGGCTCTCACCTCGCGTTTGACGTTCCACAGTAATTTCTGTTTGTGGTCTTCCTCCGTGGAGCCCTCCATGTCTGTCCGCGGTGGTCACCACACACAGGTCCGTCCGTCCGTCCGTCTCTCTCTCCCCCCTCTGGCCCTCTCACAACCTCTTCTGCCTCTTTTTTTATCCCCTCGTTTCCTTCTTCGCTCAGCTGACGCAGCTGACGTCAGAGGATCCGCCTTCCTCCCCGATCAATGGAGGGAAATAAATAAAAAATATAAATAAAAATAAACCCGACACCTCAACCTGTAGAGTCTTCTTTATTTAAAGCATCTGTTGTATTAACGCTCTCCAGCTGTGACAGATGTTCACCTCTAGAACAGCAGGTGTGACACGCTGGACAACGGTTTGGTGGTTGTCATAGTTACATCTTGATGCATCATGTATGCGAGTGCAGCTCGATGCATTAATGAGCTCATCAAAACCGATGACGTCATTCATTAACACGCTGCAGCTCATCTGGCAGTGCTTTTTTTTCTTCTTTCTCTTAAACTCACTGCTGCAAAATAAATGACGTCACGGCGAGGTGACGTAAAGCGTGACCTCCTGTGTTGGTTTGTTTTTGGGGGGGCTCCGGTGTGGTCTGAAGGTGCAGCTGCGACCATCAGAAGTCTGCAAAAAGCTCTGCACGTGGCCTTTTATTTCTGCTGCATGTTTAAATGTAAAGAGTTATAAACTAACACTCGATTAAAAAAACAATATTGTCTGGTTAAAAAAAAATAACAAAAATAAATGAAAACTGTTAATTCCTTTCAGTTTTAGTTTTTTTTAGCTGTAATATATCTTTAATAAATAAAATGACAGCATGAATGTCTCGTAAACACGTAAACTGAACAGACTTCGTATCAAATGACTTCACTATTAACCCCTCTGGTTTCACATGCAGTCGGGTTTTGTAGAATGAAATCATTATTATAAACATTGTTATAAATGTTGCAGTGGATTTAACATTTAACCAGCGAGCTGTTGATCTCAGGTCTGATCTGAACTGCTGGTGTCAGATTAAATCCTGTGAGCTAGAGAAAGAGATCTAAATATAGAAGCATTATGATGGTTCCTGTATGAAGACTAGATGGAGCTTCATACTTCAAAACAAAGACAAACTAAAACTAACAATATATGAAAACTAAATATTTCTGAAAGACTTTATCTAAACCATCACATCAAACACCCTGAAAGCTTTTTAAACTAAACTAAATCAAATCAAATAGTCTAAACTATAAGAAAATAAAAACTAATGTAAACTTTAAAACACAGTTTCCTCTCAAAACACTTAATTTCACCAGAGTTTCTTCTTCTCACTGGTTGGACGTCGTCAGTCGGTAAAGATGATGTCATACTCCTGTGAACCAATCAGAACTTGGCTCAATGTAAACGTGATGACAGTCAAACGTTAAAGTTAGTTCTGATGAAGCAGATTAAAGCTCTGAAAACATTTATTCAGATCGACGGATTCTATAAAACTCTTCTTCCTTCAGATGAAAATAAAGAAATCTCTTTCGTGAGAACTGTTTATTTTACTGAACTTTCTCTGAGGTTTGCTCGTAACATATATATACTAAAATATAATACATGAAGAAATAATTAAGGTTTAAAACCAAGTTTTCAGGCGTCGCTTTGAACCGAGTTTAAAAGCCTCCTGAGTGGAAACATTACAAACTGACGTGGGATCTGCTCTATCGTCACTAAATCCACTCCCGAGAACTTCTGAGGCGAGAAATGAACTTTTTAAAGTCAAGGACATGGTCTGAACACAGTCGCTGAATCTCTTCCATAATCTTGTATTCATATCTGCAGTTCACCTTTGAGCCACACGAGGGAGCTGAATGTTGGTATTTAACATGCATGCGTTTATAATAACTTATTCAAACATATCTGCTGAATGGTTCACCTGTTCCAGGTAAAATAAAGTGATGTGTGACTGGCAGTGAAACTGGTCCGCAGTGTTTATTTACACACAAATGATGATTTATAGTTCAGGTCTGTTAACGGGGTCGTGATGGTTTCTCCTTATTCTTAAAAGTAGGTTCCCTGAAACTAAAACCTGGGAAACGGTGTGTAAAGAGGCTGTGAGTAAAACTAATTTGAATTATTGATCGTCTTGATTAGTGTTTTAATGCAGCGGTCCCCAACCACCGGGCCGCACAGAAAGAATACATATATTATTTCGGTTTTGATGATTATCAGAGTCTGAAAGAAGGATTCTCTCCCAATTTCATCCGCCTGTGCCTCTTGACATGTCAAGACGCTTGTCTCGGTCACGCGATACGTTACCTCAAAAATTAAGCCGCAAACGAGCGAAAATGAGTAAAACACTTTTGGAGAGCTTCTTTGCAAAGAGGGAAAGGGCACTAAGGAGACAGAAGAGCTACAACTAAAAGAAAATGAAATCTTCATATAACAGACTATCAGGAGTCTGATTAAATATCAGGAGTAATTCTTACGCCAAACCCGCTCTGCAGAATATGTGGCGACAGAGGAAGATCAGCTGCTGGAGATTGTAAATGACGGTGGCCTTAAAAGTATGTTTGAGACAACAACTCTGCTGGTGTTTGGATTAAAATCAAGGCTGAATATCCTGAGATCACCACTAAAGCACTGAAAACCCTGCTTCCATTTCACGCATCCTCTTTGTGAAGCGGGATGTTCTGCAGTGACAGCAATCAAAACTAAATCCCGGACTAGACTGGACACGAGGAACACACTTTGGGTGTCATTGTCTCCCATTACCCCCAGATGGGACCGTCTCGTTGCAGAGAAACAAGCTCAGGGCTCCCACTGATTCAGCCTTATTGTGAGTTGTATTTTATATTTGTTTTCATGCCGGTCGTATCATTTTATTTCGTCGTGTTTATCCGCCACACCTTGAAGGCCGGTCCGTGAAAATATTGTTTTACATGAAACCGGTCCGTGGCGCAAAAAAGGTTGGAGACCACTGGTCTGCTTGACTCTAAATGGACCCTAAAGCATCCCCTG